ACACACCAATATATTCAAACATAATGAAAAAGAAATCGAATGATTTGTACTCCTGTATTCAATGTTATAATGATGGATACGCTAAAAGAATATGGTTAGGAGTGTTGTACACTTTTTACGAAAAAAAATATTCGATATTCATAATCAAATGTATAGAAATAGAAAATGAAATTATAGTAAAAATAAATTATACATAAAATATGGAATAAGACTAATTTTCCTGTGCCTATTTTCATTATTTGTAATAATTCTTCCCGTATTAGATATTATTAACGGTAGTAGTTCTGGGAATAGCTGAGATCCAAATACAATTGTGGCTATTTCAGGAGTATCCAAATCTGTGTATATATCTAATGGTGTATTCTTTTTGTATTAACGTATGTAATTTTGTCAGCTGCTATTTACATGATAATAAAAGTAGTAAAATATAAAGGATTAAAATAGTGGCAAGGTTTAAAGAATTATTCTGGAATTACAAAAATGTTTTAAGTAAAATGTAATGTTAAAAAATATATAAAGAAATAAAATATTTTTGGAATATAATGTATAATTCTAAATTGATAATATAATTGCTTTAAGAAAAAGGTTTATACAAATCACCAAAAATAATATACATTATATTTTATTTATATATATATATATATATATATATATATATAAATATTCCTATTTTGTCTTCGAGCAATTAGCTTAAAATAAATTGTATTAAAAGATTAAAATATAAATTGTGTTTTTATTCAGATTTATTATAATGTCATTTTATACGATCACGTACTTATAAATGTTTTGAAGTACGCATTTATGTACGAAATGTACATTGATGAATTCATGCCTTTTTAATTATTTCCCTCCTTATTTTTAATATAAATGTGTGATTAGTATTAATAAATATATAAAACATAATTTATTATAATATTAGATTTATCTTTTTTACCTTTAATTATAATATCTTTTATATTATTTAACTAATTTACAAATAATATATTATCGATTGTACTGAATAAATATATTTCATTCTTTATATAAGGTACTTGTGACTGTTATTTATCTGAAGATAACAAAATAAACGTATATTTTATTAAAAAAAAATTTTAATATATTAAAGAAAAATATTTATTTTTTTGGTAATAATAGAATTTACGAAGATAACCTTAGTGAATTTATTTTTTTATAAACTATTAAAAAATAATATATTCATATATGAAAATATGCTATTATTAGCTATTTTTATAATAAGAGTGTTGTATATACTTATGTTATTATATTATTATCTCTCCATTTAGTTAATTAATAGATTATATTTCTCATAATTGAGTGTAATATATATTGTTAACACATTACATTCCTTTATATATATGTATAATTATATAAGCTATTATATAAAATCATTCCTTTACTAATATTGATAAAATAGTTTATTCAATATTATATGTCTTGTGTAAAAAATTTTCTAAATATATTTGAAATTTTTGATACTTATATATTCACTAATATTGTTTACAAATTTTTATTCATACAATGTAGAATTCACTCCCCTGTATAGTCAATCACATAAAAATTTTTAAAAGCATTATTTTCTAATGATATATTTGTATTATATATATTCGAAAAAATGAAATGCTCAGTGCTATGTAGTGCTGTATGTATTTTATGCTATATATAAGAATTAGTATATTCTTGATTGTTTATTTTATGAGATTCATCATATAATTTCAACTTTACTTATTCATGCAATATCCATGAACCAAATATAATATTACTACATTAATAATTGATTTGTATGCACAATAAAGGATATATATAATATAAGTATATTATGTAAGCAATTAATAATATAATTTTATAAGTAGTAATACTCTAATGATTTTATAAATATATACATAGTAAAAAGAAAATTTATTCTAGTCTAATATACAAACAAATATTAATTGTGGAAAAAAATTTTATCTTTGTAGTGAAGTGAGATAATTATTAGTGAAGTATTGCATCTTATTTTAGCAAAATAATTTGAGATTATATTTTTTAATTCTTAAGTACGTTATACAAATCATTACTAAATATACTTAAAAGGTTAAATTATCAGATCCTTATATATATATTAAATGAAATTGTACCTTAATCCCCAAAACAATTTTGAACTCTATAATGAATTTTATTTAAATTATTATTTATAAATTTTACATATTTATGTAATTATTTGATCAATAAAATTTATTTAATAATTATATACATATTTTTGATTATAATTATAGTAATTTTAGTTAAATTGCTGTGAATTATTTATTTTATTTAATTTGTTTTTGATTGGTTTTGCTTCATATATACTTTCATAGTTATATTAACAACAAAGAATATCTTATGCATGACTTTTTTATATAATATTCAGTTTTCTGGACAAATTATATTATAATATTCTAAATGATATACAATTGGGATTATACATTTTCTAAATTTTGTAAAATTATAACAATAAATTTATCAGTAATGTATGTAATGTTCTTTAATATATTTTATTGAAAATATTAGATACAATGTTATATTTTCTCTGACACAAGCTTTATATTTATGCATTGAAAAAAGCATTTTTTAGCTAATTACATGAATTTTCAATTGGTATTTTTTCACTTCTTTTAAAATATATAATAATTTATTATTATTCGAGTTTTTTATCATAATGAACACAGATTTGGAGACAATTTAATAGATACAACTAAATAGAATCTCATATATGAAAATAATAATTATCGAATAATAAAATTTCTCTATTATATTCTTTTTACACATAATGTATATTTATCCGTTTTTTAACACATATTTACATTTGAGAGCAATTATATTTCTATTAGTAACTACCAGAATAATTAAAAATTATTAAATTTATATTTATTATTTCATTATTCATTGCTAATTTTATATTGTATAATTATATCGATGCATATTGCAGATGTTTCCTGAGGAAATTTTTGTAATAAAAATTATTTTCTCTGCAAATGTAAGATGATAATTCATGATACAATATCACTATTCTATAATTCCCTTTGATTCATGTTTTTTTTTTCATTTAACACGTGATGTATATTTAATTTTTTTATAAATCCATAAAAGATTATTATCAATGGATAATAATTATGCGTCAAATAATTATTACTTTTTTTTTCCAATATATCAAATTTTTATTCATTTCATAAATGTATAATTTATATAAATTATGTCCTTATTATTGCTTAATGAATTTTTTTCAACATTATGCATGTGAAGAAATATGTGGATCTGTAACACATATCTCCACGAAGTATATTCCTATTTCATCAAACATATAGTTTCCATTTCTTATATAATCAACGTGAATTTTTGTATGAATACATTTTCCTTCAGTATAAACATAGAAATAAAAAAACGTGTTGTAAATGTTTATGCGAAAATTTCATTTATGTTGTATTTTAATTCTTTATCAAAAAGATAGTTCTTTTATATACTTATTTCTTTATATGATTTTTATACATATTACAGTTTATATTGTGAAAAATAAATACAAACTCTTCTCAAAATAATTATTTTAATATATTCATAACATCCAAAATTATCTTTATAATAAAATAAGTTTAACAAATATTTTATTATAATTTATGACGAATATTAAATTTAATAATTACACCTTTAATGATGAATTCAACGTATTTACTTTTCAATTATAAATAAGATTACATTTTTATTGTAAATATAATTAGTACATTGAAAAAATTAAAATTTCTAGTTAATATTAAAAAAATGTAGTTGTTTCATAGCTGTACATATTGATTTATCTAAGAAATTATTTATTAATTTTTCTAATAGGAAATGTTAATTAAATTATTCTTTTAAAAATACAATTTCCATAAAAATTGAGTACATATATAATACAATTGTTTCAATTTATTATTTGATATATTTTATAAATATGTACATTTTTATTGTTGATCGGATTATAAAGAATAATTCAAGCAAAATAAGAAACCTCTACCGCACAAAAATTATTTGTTATAATATGCGGGAACATCGTAATAATAATTTTCACACACCTTTAATTTTTTAATTATTTAATAGAAAAAATATCATAAGTATTAATATATTCTAAACTCTGTGTCATTGGTTGATAATAATGTGAATAAATAATTTTAATTGAAATAGCACCCAAAATGAATATTAAATATATGAAATGTGATAAAAGGTAATTTAGTCTTAAAAAATCCCAAATGATAAATACTATGTAATTACATTGTATAATAAATATAATAACTCATATATAATATAACGTTTTTCTTTTTTATATATATTTTATTTTAAATATACGTAATAACATAGATCTAAAAATTACCGACTAATATTCTATAATAAATAATGAAATTCATATAGATGCCTAAATATTTTTGTGAATTAGTTTATTTATAATACTCTTAAAGTTACATTTTAAAATAAATATTTTTATTATATATATATATAAACATATATATATATTTATAATATTGGATTAATTATGACAATATTCTCATAATAATATCTATATATTATTAAATCATTCATATATATCCTTCATACAATATAAATATATTTATTGGAAATTATACTACATCATTTTATGAGACTTTAATATATTTTATATGACAGTAATAAATATTCATGTAATATAATTATTATCTATTTTAACATATTATGTGAATTATGATAAGTTATATAAACCATAATAAATACTGAGATATGGAAAATAAACTTAGATAAATATAATTTTGTATATATGTAAGCAAATCACAAATGTTATCACTACATTTCTATTTTTAATTGACAATTTCAATAAAATTGCATATTATATGTGGTCGGATACATGCAGAGTTACATTTTAACAGGCTATATATATATTTTTAAAATAAAGTACAAATAATTTTTATATATGAATTCATATATTTATGATAATATGTTGTATATCGAAGATTTATACTACCTCATATAAATCTTTATATAAATTAATGATAAAGAGATTATATAGTGTTATAACGTCAATTTTATATCTATAAAAATGTGAAAATGTATACTACCTTTTTTTCTATTCCTCAGTGTTAAAAATATATGTTATTATATTTTTATTCTTCTTTATTTTATTTAGTTCACTCATTCTAGTATATATAATTATCTGATATGGAAAAAATAACTGTACTTCGATAAATATAATATATAAAACACATTATAATATTTGTATATTAACATTTCTTTACGAATTATTAAATTATTTCAACAGAATTAATTTTTTATAATATAATTATCTTATATTTTTTCCTAGATCGCTTTCGTAGATTCATTATATGAATATGGCTTATTATTGAAATCTTATACAACTAATTCCTCAGGGAACTTCAATGATCAGTGCACAAATATAAGCAAAATATTTTCGAATGATTTACAGTCAAATGTTAATGCAATATGCACGAAGGTTATGTCATATTTAGAAAATATTCATAAGACTAGTGATAATAGATTAATAACGTCTAGTTGTATATATTTGTACTACTGGATATATGAAGAATTTAAGAAACAGGAAAAAGATAACAGCATATATACCAAAATGATTTATGATTTGTTAATTATGGTATATAATAATAGAGGTAATATATCTATTTGCAATAATTACGCGAAAACTATATTTAACGATGAAGAAATGTTAAAACTAAAAGACATATATGACATGGTCACTATATTACATGATTTAAATAAAGAAGGTGCATGTTCTAATGAAGAAAAACCTAATTGTACCAATCAATGTTTTAATACATATATTAAATATGAAGCAGAATGTAAATTCAATAATGATCATTATTTTTGTAAAATATTAAATGATTTTAGAAATGCATATAACACAAAATTAAGAAATTTATCTGGTGCTAATATACATTACAAACTGTTGCCTTCCTTCCATACATATAACATAAAACTTACTGTTATAATTCCAGTTCTTGTGGCATTAATAACATCTGTTATATTATTTATGTTGTATAAAGTTAATATTGTTTGTATTTATACATATTTATAATTAGGAAAATATTTGTATTCAATTTTAAAAAATATGCAATTTATCTTATAAAAGATTGCATATTTAATGTATTTATTTTGTCTACATAAAATTAGTTCACTGCATTTGGATCATACATTAGCCAAAGTATAATAAGAGAAAAGAATGTGTTCAATGTTATTGCAAAAAAAAGGAATATATTAGAACAATCAGATATATCCAGCAATATTCCAAATAACAGGAAATATAATGTATATTATAATTTTACCTAATATACTAGAAACTACATAAATCCAAGGAAATATTTTATTTAGAATAAATATAATGCACTGTAATGATGTTATATGAAAAAATATTCTACTATTAATTCAACATATTAAGGAATTAATTCGTAAAGTAATGAATAACATATAAATTTGTAATTTTAATGTAATATAACTTCAATATAAGAGAAATAATAATGTTGAAAACATTATTCACTAATAGAAAAAATCATAAATATATGTATTTCAAACAAATGACATGCTTTCCTTACACATATAAGTTGTGTTTTGCAATAATACGCATTATTTTATTTATAAAAACATATAATATATAAATAAGAATAATTTACTGTATTGTATAACATAATGATAAATATGAAATTTAATAATTCTGTAGAAAATTAACACATATAATATCTGCTATTAATGCATTTATATTACACTATTGTAACCAATTTTAATCAAGAAATGAAAAAAATAATAATAATTAAATAATTAGAGGATATATTTAATGGAATTATTAAAAAAAAACAATTATAAATTATCGAGAAATATGATTCAGTAGAGCACAATTTTCAGATAATTTATGTGTATATTAAAATCTACCAAACCTGAAGCTATGGTACAATGATTTCCCCATAATCTGATATAATATTAAACATATTCATATATTACAAATATAAAATGAATAAATTTTTATATAATATTTATAAATATGTTGTAATTACGTGTCTTATATAAATGGTGCGTTTATTAGTTTATTATAATAACATTAGGTAAAAGAGATTTCACAGTAAACGTTTTTCGTACTAATAGGATAAAAATATATATTTGCGATATATTCCATTTTTATTGTACAGAAACTCCTTATATTCAATTCCGCTCGAATATGTATTTTTATAATTATTATCACTTCATTTATTTATTTATATTTTTTAAGTATATTTTCATTTTTATGTATTCTATATATTTTTTCAATGTCCTATTTAAGTCATAAACGAATATTGTGATTATAATTTTGAACATTTATATACACTATTGTTATGTGTTTTTATTATGAAATTTTCTCTGATAAGTATGTAATATTAACCATTTTTTTCAGCATATAATGGTGAATGTTCATAATTTCTAAAGATATTTGTATTCTTTAAATACTTCCTCGCCATATATTTTGTATAATATGTGTTATAAAAAAACTTTTTTATTTTGGTAGCCTATAATAAAATATAAATTAAAAAAATATATATGCACAGATGGTTCTTATAGTTTTATTCTTCAATTAAACAAAACATCTGTTAAAAAATATTCATAATATATTATAAAAATTTTATATTACGTTTAATAAAATAAAAAATTATATTGTGATTGTAATTTCCACTGGACGCTCAAAAGATAAGCATTTTTAATTGATAGAATAACGTGAATTTTATATTCAGCGTGTACTTTTTGGAAAGTTTCATTATTACTCGCATCATGGACTTGTTGGATATGTTTGGAATACCCATGTCCATTAATGAAATGATTCCTACCTGATTGATCAAGAATAGAAGTGCCTTTTTAACCCCTTTTTTCAACTAACCATTTTTGAACAAATCACTAATACTAGAAATATATTGGTTACCTTTTGTTGAGTAGTCATTTAATTTTTTCTTTCACAAAAGCATTAGCTATAATTATATATGGATCATTATCTGAAGGGATACCTAATAATAAACAATTTAGTATAAGATCACCATAAATCATAATATTATCGATGATATCTAAGGAAATATATTCTTTTCATATTGCCTACATTGGAAAAAAAAATAAAAAACAAAAAAATGTAGAATTAATAAAAAGATAAATATTATAATTCATATATATAAACAATTCGACACACGAAAAATAATATTTTTAAAGCAATAATTTAAAAAAAATATAGGATTTATTTTCCTTTTTTTTAATTTTTAAGGTACAATATTTATCATATATTTTTACTTTAGGGATTAACTTTTATGTTTTAGTGTTGGTTTTATTTTCCTCAATAAAATTATAACCTCTTGTAAGTTTTCGTTTTGTTATGCCTTCTTATTATATTCAAATTATATTTATAGAACTTATTTATTTAACACTTTATAAGGTATCATATGAGTATAAAACTTATTTCAATTATATATTCTTACTATATATATATGTGTAACGACCTCATTTTTTTACATTATATAAACATTTTTTCAAAAATATTTATAATATTTTATTATCACTCTATATATAATAGCTATATAAAAATGGTATTAATAGAATTATATTATCATTAAGTATTTTTTATGATTCTAAATATACATCATATAATGGACGTAAATATATATACAATAAATGATTTATTTATTAATAGATTTAATTTTTTAATAAAATATGTTTAATACATTTATTTTTATGGTAATATAGTATTCAAGATATACTTACATATTATTATTGGTATTATTTTTTATTATGTTTTAGTTCATTATATAAAGCAAGGTTAGACATGCTCAATAACAACCATGAGAAAAATTAAAAATATTTAATATATTTTCTCAAACAATATATATAATTGCAAAAATAAAATATAAGCATGAATATTTTCATTTCTACTACTAATTATATAATAATTATTATTTCACTGTATTTTTTTTTCTTACTTTTCTTGAATTTTTTAATATAAATGTACAAGGTATAATTGGTCGGTATAAACAACATACATCTCTAAACATAAGTCATAATTATTTAATTTAACATTGAACTAATTTTTTAGAAAATAGCGCTATTGAAAGAATATTATCTTTACTGTGAATTCATAAACGTACTAATAAATAATTTAATAAGATTTTCAAATATTATAAATTTTATGTAATTATTATTTATACAATATAAAAAACTACATATTTACATTTATGTTGCATTTCATTTTTACAGATCTTCGATTTAATCGTAAGTAAAAACAATATGATAATATTACATTAAATTTCTCCTTATTATCAAATAATATTATTATGCATTATAATATACAATTATAATATATTTAATATGAAAAACAAAATATCAGATGTAATAAGTAACATAGAATAAATCTGAAAGCATTTGTAATATATGATGGGACTTATACGTTTATTAATTCGAAACATAATGTTTTAACTAGCGCCTTACTCTGAAGAATTCATAAAGAATTTAATTTTTTATCATATAAGTACCATAAGAAGGTATATATTTGTTTATAACATAAATGAAGTACATTCATGTGTTACGCTAATGGAATAATTTTATAAATTTTTTGTAATCATTAATATATAATATTGGATAAAAAACGATACATGCAATAGGTTATTTATTTTAATTGGTTATAATATAAATAATACATTAAGATAAATGATTACTTACAAAATAATAATATAACAACATAAATATAACAAAATTATATGAATAAGGATAGTTAATATGTTACACAAAATATATTAGAAGAAAATTACAAAAATATATTATGAGCATTTTAAGTATAATAGTTAGAAAATTCCTATATAATAAAAATTTTGTAAAAACTTTGCAAATTATCATAATATATGTAAAATAAATATATTTAGGCTACTTAATATATTTCATATTATATTTTGGTGTAATTAATTATTTATACATAGTATATCTTTAAAAAATTTTAAATTCATAATCATATATTAAAAATTAATAAAAATATGTATTGAATATATTATTTTACATTATGGATATATAGAAGAGTTTATAATTAATAGTTATTTATGTATATTCAGAGGTAGAGTATATATTATTATTATAACAATAAAACAAGAATAAATAAAATTTTTAAAATGACAGTTATAGTGTGATCCATAAAAATATCATACTAATACACCATATATTTTTTGGAGCTATAAAACATATAATATATATTAACTCGTATAAAATATTTAGTACCTATTTATGATGATTTTATTTTAAAAACAATATTGTTCTCTTTTTTATGGCATGTAATTTTCTAAACATTTTATTATGATTTACTTGTATTTAATAATATAATATATTCTATATATTTTCATTATAGTACCTGAGTGCATTCTTATATCTACATACATTTATTAAAATATGTTCTATTCTTATATATCAAAATAATTATGCTTTAATGGATATAAGTATAGTATAATTATAATACCTTCAATCAGAGGATACTATATGTTATGGTAGAATTTTAAGCATACATATCTTGTATTTTATCTACATATTTTTCGAAACTTTAAAATAACATTGTATATATTTTCTTACAAATTGTAAGAAAAAATATATATATATATATATTTATATATATTCATTTGTTTTATATATTTAGCGCTTGTTATGAAAAATATTTTTTACGTGTTGTTAGTTATATTATATAAATGAACTCATATAATTTTTTGTAGATCAACAAGTTTATGATATTTATTATAAGTATAATTTTATACGCATAAATATATTATCATTTTTATACATATATATATCAGGATTGTCTTGCAATATTATATAATATGTTATATGTATAGTTTTTCATAAATCTTGTTCGATTTTCATAAGTATTGTCCTTAAATAAGCATGAACCTATATTATTTTTTCCTTGAATTTCTTATCTTTCTTTTAATAAGATCGAGTACAATATTTTTGAGTGACTTAAACCAAAATTAGAATGTAATTCTTTTAATAAATATGTGTAATGCTGATAATGTAATTTTTTTGTTAAAATATAATATATAATAAATATATATGTTTAATATTTTAATTACCATTGCAATTAACCTTGTAAAGAAATATAATAATTGTGCCTAAAATTATGCTAACTAATATTGTTTCCATAAAAGATACTTTCTTAACGGAGTCAAGATTATACGTGCTCTCATGTTTACTAAACTTATATACTAAGTGTTCTGGTAAGTATGAATTCTCTTTTACTTCAATGCATCTAGTCTCATAAGGTTTGGGATCAGAATCGACAAACAACCTCAATGGATTCT